TCCAAGATCAAAACGAAGAGCGGCTCCAAGACCTCTCACGGGTACGTGGAGGACTGCGTATTTCCCAGCTTCAAAGTTACAAAGTCTGTGAAAAGTGAGCTGACCGACGAGGACGAGGAGGACGAGGAGGAGGACGACTACCGGATGGGGATTAAAGCGGGAGAGGAAGAGCGCCTGAGGCCGTACAATGTAGCCAAAGTTCCCGCGAGCCCAACTTTGAGCTCCTCGGCGGAGTCCGAGGGGGGCGAGCATGTACGAAGAAGTGCGGAGCAGCAACAACAGACTGTTTTATAATCTCAAACACATTTCCAAGCAGGGCGCGTTGCACGCTGCTTCCGTCTCACCAGCATCCTCCAGGTCAGTTTCCACATCCTCCTCCTCCAGCAGCAGCAGCAGCTCCTCTTCCGGGGAGGACGCGGACGATTTGCTGTTTGACTTTAGTTTAAATTTCGCTCCGAGCGCCCCGGGCTCGGAGCTGGGCAACCCCAATTCAGGAAACCTCTCCCTGTCTCTTGTGGATAAGGACCTGGACTCTTTCAGCGAGGGCAGCCTGGGCTCTCACTTTGAATTCCCAGACTACTGCACGCCGGAGCTCAGTGAGATGATAGCCGGGGACTGGCTGGAGGCGAACTTTTCCGACTTGGTCTTCACGTACTGAGAGAGGGGGAGAGAAAAAAAAAGAAAAGAAAAGAAAAACAGTTACTCTTGTAATGACAGAGAAGGGAGTTGTGAAATTATACGTGTCCCGGTCAAATGGTCTCTAAGCCCTGCCTTTTGTGGCTTTTCTGTCGGGTCCTGGAGAGGGAAGTGGAGGACCAGTGAGCCGAGGTGAGGTTTGAGGAATGAGATGCTTATGAAGATGGTAGCAGGAAAAAAAAGAAAGAAAGAAAGAAAGAAAGAGGGAGGAAAAGAGGCAAAGTCTGCAGACTTTTTTGTATCTGACAGCATGACAGGGTTTATGGATTTTCTCCTCCCCCCTCATAGGTCTGCATTTACTGTCCAACCTTAGACCAGAAAGGGAAGAATACGTGAACTTCTATGCATCTTATCCTCTTGAAAACAAAAAACCAGAAAAATAAAAATGAAAAAAACCTGCAGGGAGCTGATCACGAACTGTGGACTGTCTCAAAGAAAAATCTGTGAACTGAGCTGACAATTGTTCAGGATGCTACTTTACAAACTGTTTGATGTAATTTTTAATGCCGCAAAAATGTTTTTCCTTCTTTTTGTTTTTTTGTTCTTACGTCTTTATTTTGTAACTGATTCTGTTTTACCTCCTGGTTTGGAACAATTAAAGCAGCCTAAACCTCTGCAGAGTTACAGGTGTGGAGGGAAACATTTTGATACATAACAGACCTCATCTTTTTAAAAGAAAATAAAATATTTTCAGGCATATTTTTGTACAGTTTTAACAAAAAAGGGAATGTTCTTACTGTGCTTTCAGTGAGTTTCAGGCACTTCTTCCCTTTATCATTTGTTTTTATTTTTTAGCATGCAAGGGAGTCCTGGTTTTAAGGATTAAGTTAAATTAAGACTTGCATCAAAAATGCCTTGTGATTTTAAAACTAGGTTTTGTACAGTTGTAGAGCAGATTTGTTGAGTATTTGTAGACGATACAATGGCATCATGGGGAAAACATACCTCAGAGCTGGAACTAGTTTCAAGATTGTATATGTACTGTAATATAGTAAAGTTAGGAGTTTATGTATATCATACTCGTGATGTGGATGGGTCCCAATCGCAGGTGTGAAACTGGATTTTGGTATTTTTTATGGCACATACTGTTTTTTCCCCCCTTTCTCATTTTTTTGTGCAATATATACTCCTAAGATACAGACCATCAACAATTGTAGCAAATGATGGAAAAAACAGACTCGTGCACTGTCGACATCATTTCATATTGTGATGCTGAAAGCCTGTCCGGGCTGGGAAATAAACAAATCAGCTGGAACTGATACAAAACAATATAATATGGCCTTACGGTGTGATGCATTCTATTAAAACAGACGGATTTTACCATTTGAACGTTATCTGACACACGTAATTAGCAGAAATGGGCATGTTTGAATCAAAAATCAACTGCAAATTTTGGGAAAATGAACAAAAACAAACATGAAAAGGCATAGTCAAACACAGTGGTGGCCTGGCTTTAGATTTAACGAGCAAGCAAAAAAAGAACATTCCATAGTCCTGTTTCATGAAATGAAACTATTTTGAAACTGAAGACTGCCTTCTTTTTTTAAGACATTTACCACAAACCTGTATTTTTTAATTTCTTGCACTTAAAAAAAGCAGATATTGTTTATTTTTATGTGGGTCTTACATATGAAGTTTGTTTGATAAAAAGGGTTTTGGAATATAGCCTGATTATATGCCAAGACTTTTTGTTGGAAGTTCTAGGCAGTAGTTACTTCACATTCCAAGTGTGAATCTGTCTTTGACTCATCTTTTAATAAATAAGTACCTACCACCGTCAACTGTCCTTTCAGTTTGTGAATATGTGTACACAGATGTGTTATTTCTTGCATTTGAAAACGATGTGATGACAGAATGATGCCTATTTTGTATGTAGGCGGATACTCTTTAATGGATGGGCTCAGACTACCATGTGAATTCACATTTAATAATAAAAAGAAAGAAAAAGGAAAACTTTTTTCAACTGCACTGCTGACGTTTACTGTTCTTTTTTCTTTGCTTTCTGGTTTTTGGGTTTCAAAAGACTTGAACAAAAACAAGACTCTGCCGCTTTAAGAAACTGAATTGCCCGCTTTGCTGGCTGCTGGAGCTGTGATTGGTCATGGCGCTGGTCCCCTTGGTAACGGAGCTGGAAACAGGAGCCGCTTGCACTCAGCATGTGGGAGCTCTCAGTCTGTCTGGCTTTCATTCAGAAAACGAGCACTCTGCTCCTAAAGCAGCGCTAACCCAGAAAAGCCTGAGCGCTGATGCAAAGAAAACAAATGTGAGCTAAACATGCAGATCAGGAGCTGAATCAGTGGAAAGTGGTTGCTTTATTGCATTAATATAATTTCAAAATAAAAGCTTAAGTGATATAGATAATCCAATCTAATAAATTAGAATTTTGCACAAAGTAAATTTGACTCAAAATTATAAGGAAAAGCAAATTTCCTCATATTATGAAATAATTAAGTAGATTTTAATTTTTTGAAGCATCCACAACAAACTAAAATAAATTAAATGCAGATGCAAACTTTACATCATCAAACCTGCATTTTTTTAAACCCAGTTGAGATTTAGGGACGTTGCCCTGATCTTCTTCCTGTAGCTTAGCTCCTGCTGCGTCTGCTTTTTCTCCGATTGAGATTAATAAGACCCAGACACGCATGATGTCATACAAAATATAAATAGCACAACAACCAATAATTTACAGTGATTACATCTTCGCTGTGTGAGTCTCAGGAGAGCCACAGAATCCGGCTCTCGCTTCCTCCGAGGCCTGTTTAGAGAGACCCACCTTTAACAGGGTTTACATTAAGAAGCAAAGCCTCATCCGTTTGGATGTTTATGCTCACAGAGGCAATAGAATCCAGTGATGAATACTTGCCATGCACAGCTGCACAGGTAGTAGCCTCCCCCATTAAGTCAGTTTGCAAATCTGTAATAAAACATTTATCTAGCTATTACTTTACCTGACCTATTGGTCAAAGTTGCTAATGGGTTCCAGGACCATTCCCAGTTGAATCTCATCATTGATTTTGTGCTCCTCTGAAATATCGGCTCGGGGGGGCTAATGCCACCAGTACACATTGAAATGAAATTAGTGACCCCTTGAAATTTCCTTCTATTTCCTCCTGAAATAAATAAATGGAAAAGCAGAAGTGAGATTCCGTCTTTCAGTTGCAGGGGTAATGCAAAAAAAAAAAAAAAAAAAAAAAAAAAAAAGAAAGAAAAAGTCATTTCCAATCCTTTTAAATCATTCATTTAAGCTGGGATGTTACAGTCAAATGTTGGACGTGACATCTGTACAAAGAAGAGCTGAGCCGACCCACAAACCCTCTGTGACTCGGTCCGATCCAAAAACGGAGGCTAAATCCAGTAATAATAAGGCAAGTTATGATTTCCTTTCATCTTATTTTTCCCCTCCACACCGAATCTCACCCGCTGAGCTTTGATGCATTACATCACCGCTTAGCGTGTGCCACTGCGCAGTGAGATCCTGTGTTGTGTCATCGTTGATCCACATGTGTTGCTTCCCCCCGGTGGGAGACTGCCTGGTATAGCTGTGGGTATACTGATGCATGCACCCTCAATGCTCTATAACAACAATAACCCAAATGAAATCAAGTATCACTGATGTTAATTTAAGGTGTGACGTTAAAGCCTTAAAGTAATTTACAGATCCTTTGTGTGACGGGCAGCTAACTGAAAATCACATGTTACCCCAGGGGCGGATCTACAGGAGGGCAGCTGCCCCCCTGCTGTAGAAACATGCCCCCCCCCCCCCCCCCCCCAGCTGCCCCCTCACACTTTTATGTCCTTTAAAGCTTGGTTTATGCTTGACGCATTCGCTTTCCGTGCGGTGATGCGGCTCGCGGCTGGAACACGCTTCACAACTCACAGTGTTTATGGTTCATGCGGCTTTTCTCTGCGGTGAGCCAATATTCTCCCAAACTGAACGGGGCAGGATGGAGCTCTACGGCATGCATCCAACACTACACCATAGTAGAAGTAGAAATTACTGTTTACAACACGGCATTTCAGCATTTTTAACAGCGTTCTCGTCTTTTCCGACAGTGCGAGCTATTTCTCTCCAAGAATTATTAACAACATGTTGATCACAGTGATCTCTGAGAGCTGAATCATACAAATGTCTGTATTTACGAACCTCTGCCGTACTAGTTCTTGCCGGTCCGCCATGTTTTTCCGCGTCCGTCCGTCCGCGTGGTTAGAAATTTTCCAAGGTGCGCGTTGCGGAAATTCTGGGCCGTGCGGAGGCGCGGCAGAGGGGCGTGGTTGTTAAAATGACGCAAAATGACGCAACTTTTCCGCGCGGAGCCGTGCGGACCTCGCGGACGCGTCAAGCATAAACCAACCTTAAGTATGCCGCAGGTTCTCCTAAATGTGAGCTGGGTGACATCAGCACAGCCATTTAAGTTCTTTTACTAAATTTGTCTTCTGTATTTATTTTAATAAAGACTTATTTTTTATTTATACAAAAAAACACATCTTTGTTTTCTTAGCATTATGACACAATCAATAGTTTTGAAGTGGTTTTGTAGATATTTTCTTGACTCTAGCCTTTTATAGAAGGCACAACACGCCGGCAAATCAGCAATGCGGGGATTTTGCAGCATTCGTTCCGCCGGACTTGCGCAACAGATGGTGATGTATTGATCACGTGGGGAGTTACTGCAGGGTTCCAGTTGGCTATAATAATAAAAACGAAAGTAAATACGAGGAATAGGTTTAGCTTTGTTAACAGAATAAACTGAGATGATAAACTGGAGTCATGCAGAGCTCCAGGAGCTTCCTGATGCCACCTCAGCTTTGTGGCAAACCGGCAGCTTTGTTTTAAAAATGAGGCTTACGTTTACCTAAAGGGTTCGTTGAGGAAATCCAGCATTGCCATACGTTCTACGCCAGGGGTGTCAAACTCATTTTAGCTCAGGGGTCACATTGCGAGAAATCTAGTCCCAAGTGTGCCGGACCGGTAAATTAAAAACAACTTCAGATTGTTTTCTTTGTTTTAATACAATCAATATAAAACAAGGGTGGAGCCTGAGGACAGTGTATCCAAAATAGTACAAGTACAACACCTGAAGTGTACTTGAAAATTTGAATAAATAAATAAATAAATCATTAAATAAAAAAACATTCCTTGGTGATTCAAACAGCTTACAGATCACATGGCTAGATCAGTTTCATGCAGCACTTAAAGTATATTTGACTCATTTTTCTTTGCATCTTTTAGCTTTCATCAGCACATCAGTATCAAGTCACATCCTGAGTGGCGGCCAAGTCACATCCTGAGTGGCGGCCAACTTCAGGATGTGATTCAAGTTCTTGTGTGAGCCTTGAGCGCAGCTTTGTTTTATTCATACTCATTACAGAGAAAACTTGCTCACAATGATAAGTTTATTTTCACTCTACATTGTAAAGTATGAAAATAAAGTTTACAATACCATCTCGCGGGCCGGATTAAACCCGCTTGCGGGCCGGACACGGCGCGTGGACCGCATTTTTGACACCCCTGTTCTAGACCTTCAGCACCTCTTTTGCATTTTGTGAAATCAACTAGATCCACCACTGATTAGCTGTTCCCGGCTTTTAAGAGTCCTGCAACATCATCCAAACTGGTAAAATAGGCGCAAAGACCATAAATCTAATTCATTGTCTTGTGAATTCAGATGAGAAAACCACATGTTTATCACCTGCTTGCCGTTATATCACACAATCTCCGACAAGATGACCTTATGAGCACTCGTTCCTGATGGTGTGCAGTACCCTTGCTGATAGGGAGAATTTGTCTCTAAGATTGTCTGCCTGAGCAGCAGTCCGGCCCCCGTGTCCCCAGCTTCGGTTTTGGCCCGAGGCGACTCCTGCTGCTGTTGATGGCTCTTCATTTGCTCTACCCCTCTCTCTGCATGAGGAGGGAGCATCGGCCCCATCTGCCGCGCCGATATTTACCATCCCTTCACATTTATGAGAGGTGGGGGTGGGAAAGGCCCTAATTCTCTCTTGGTGTTTTAGCAGAGAGAGATAACCGACTTGTAAAAGCAGTGCAAAAGTGTTGCACATGTTTAAAAAAATAAGAGTCCAACTTAACCTCGTGTAGCACGGACACAAAGGAAGCGAGGTAATGGATGATAAGAGTGGAGCTCCGTAGCCCGCTGCTGCCAAATCTTCTATTCACAACTTCATTGCCGTTTTTCATTAATTTGCAAAGCTAACAGGATGCTGAAAAGGATTTAGAGGAGCTGCTACACTGAAAAGAGACACAGCAGGCTGTTGTGAGCAGTTTAAGCTGCCAGAGCTTTTGTCTCATCTACACAAAAACAAACAGTTCAGTCACTCCTTGCAGAATCGGTTCTGATGCGTGGTAAGATCTCATTGGGAGAAGGTCACTTTTTTTGTGGGGAGCTGCTGGAGGTCGCACATCACTCATGCACATGATCTGGTGGGAGGGCAGAGCCTCAGCTGCACACCTGCCCTTCTTTTCAGACCCAGACCTATACATTATTTTGAATGAATTGAGTTTGTGACGTTTTGCTGATTGGGGTTTCAGTGTGTGCTCGGCAAACACTCTGCTGGCAGCAGTCAGAGTGAGAAAAGAAAGAAATGGGCTTTTTTGTCTTTGTTTTTTTTTAATGCCAGATTAGTGGGCTTGCCGTAATTTAAACCAAGTTGTCAAGTCATTTTAGCTCAAGTTGTGTGTCAGTTACACAAACTGGTTTGCCTCATTGCTAAACTAGTCTTATATGTTGTTGACCAGTGGTTCCCAATGTTGGGGTCAGGGCCCCACTTTGGGTCACCAAGAACTACACAGGGGGCCTTGAGGTGATTTCCAGAAATTGTCATAAAATTGAAAACACAATTGATGAAGCTATATTATTATAATAAATGCTACAAAAACCCAACCAAATGGTTAATTATTAACATATGCCTTTTCTTCATGTCGTGATTTATTTGGCTTTTTCACCAAGGTT